CCCTCTAGATCCCAGTTGTTAAAAGAGGGAAAAATTTAAGCAAATGTATAACAAATAATTTTGAACATTATAATCTTTTAAGCTTACGGCTAGAAGTATTAACAATATCATAATTTCCAATCCAGAGATATATGTTCCAATGCAGTACCTATTTTCCATAAATGGCTTTGGTAAGAGGAATGTTGTAAATGTGGATACATTTCCACTATTGCTCCTCCATGCCATGATATAGTGTTATTAGCTTGAGCAGTTATAAATCCATCGCCATCCTTACTTTAACTTAATTCTTTTTTTATTTAAATTTGTTATTAATTTCAGTGAAAATTTACAGAGGTTTTGGATTTCCATTCATTCATTGTTGTACTGATCAAAGAAACTTTATCCTGAGTAATTGTGATGCTGTATTGTAACCTGTTACTTCTCTAATAGGAGATTTGGCAGTCTAGTGGAAAGGATTTGTGCTGCTAAACCAAAGGCAGGTGGTTTGACTCTACAGCTGCTTTAAGGGAGAAAGGTGGGCTGTCTCCTGTGCAATTTAGAGCCTCTAAAAACCCCTTGGAGGACCAGCCATAAGTTCCAACTAGAAGACACATAGTAACAACTTCCCTAATAAACTTTATGTGAGTGTAGTCTGAGTTGTTCCTGGCTATTGCAATGAATTATCCAACTAAGAAAGCCATAGAGTGTGCTATGAGAATAGTGATGGTATCAGAATTGGCTAAATGGTTGAAGACTGGAGCTAGGTCTAGACTTTATCTCACAGGAATCAGCCTTGAGCTGCTGAAGATTATAATGATCCTTCTCTCCCCTTGGGAAGTTAGAGGAAGTCGGATGCCTCCCCAGTAATTTTCAAAGGAGTTTGTTAGGAAAGTAGCAGTTTCTCATTTAGGATCAGGAATAACTCAGGACACAGTTTATTAGTCAGGACAGCTTCTCAGCCTGATTTACAGCTCTCTGCCTCTTGGGTATCTTGGACCTCTGCATCAGCCTGGCCAAGCCTCTGACTTCTTTTATCCAAATATTACATAGTTCTTTAGCTCTGGTTATAAATATCCACAGTCACCTCACTCTGCCAGAAGCCTCTGCCAAAGCCTTT